TACTAAGTCAGATATGAACTCGAACAACAGCTCGAGCTCAACCTTTAGACTGAATTTGACTAATTTCTAAATTTTGCAGAAATTTTGGCAGCACTCCCTCTAGAAAAGTGTCAWTCCAAAATTTATACAAGGCTAAGTTCAGAATTTTGAGAATAACTTTAACTTCTTARAGTCCAATTTTGTCTAACTCCCTGAATYAGTAAAAATTTGGGYAGCACTCCCTCTAGAAAAGGAMACTTTCCAGATTTATACTAATYCATRTATGGAAAAGACAAGCTGAACTTTKACAAGTCAAAASTTGATTAACTTCTTGGATTTGTAGAAATTTCGGCAGCGCTTCCCRTAGGAAAAGTAGCTTGCCAAGATTTATATAAAGCCAAGAATRRGAAAGGATCTCAGAAAATGCAGGAATTTACACTAACTTCTATGCCTCTAGCACGTGGCGAGCAACTACAGCAACTATCTATAGTAATGAAACTCAACAAACTAGCCATCCCATTTAGTCACATACAAATCAAACCACCAAAGTAAGTACTCTCATCACCCCAAGTTTATTCCATACAGATAGTTCATGAATCTTCAAGTTCTTGATCCTTATACCCATCTTACATAAGACATAGARCTGGACCATTCGCCATGGAAACAATGCCCARCTTGTCTTCATGATATACACGAACAGGTTGCACAASTACTTCTCTCTTCYTTYRGGCAGATGACTAGRCCATTCGTCATGGAAACAATGCCTAGCCGCCCTGAGCTGTTTAATATCCAAGGATTTAGTATTTCTCTGACTTTGTTTTCAAAAAGAAAAAGCAAATATGGGCAGGGGGCTGAACCATTCACAGTAGAAACAATGTTCAGCTTGCCCAAACTATTTTCATTTTTACTTTGTATTTCCCTTTTTCCCTTCTTAATGATATGGCTTAACGCTGGACCATTCACAGTAGAAACAATGCCCAGCTGCCAATTCACATGCAAATATACATAAAATACTTCCCCTTTTTACTCAGTTTAACTTATGTGTGTGGTTTTCAGGCTAAACCATTCACCATGGAAACAATGCTTAGCCTTTGACCAGAAATCCTCCCTCAGAATAAACAAGAACTYAAACTCCTTCAATCAGGCAAACCCCYAGAGTWAACTAGAGCAACCAGGCCATTCACCATGGAAACAATGCCTGGTTTCCTAGAAAACAACTAAATAAACACAGCAACCAGACCATTCACCTTGGAAACAATGCCTGGTCCTTCAGAAAACAGTCAAATAAAACACAGCCCAGAGCCATTCACCATGGAAACAATGCTCAGGCTTTGGTTGACCCGGTCAAACGCATGCAGTCTACCTTCCTCCCATCTTCCCCCAGTTCATCCCTTCGTCTGCTTTCAATCAAAACAAAATAGAAACTTAGGCTTCACTCTCACACATTCTTTTCAGTTAGTCTGATTAGGTCYTGAAGAGAAAGCAAAAGCCATGGGGATAAACGCATGCATACAACAATCATACTGTAGGGGGATAGGCAAACATGGGTAGTAGTAGGTGGTACAGATGAAAAGTTATATACCTGATGGTTCCCTGCCTCCAGAACCTCGCCTAGGTTCCKGCAGAGCTCCCGCAATCGGTGGGTRGACTCCCCACAGAGTCTTGATGCGGACCTACGGGTTGCAATCCCGCCTGCCGCCTTCCTYTCGTAACCACAGGACTAGACTGAGAGTTAGAAAGGCAGAAGGAGACAGTTTTCAGACTCTCAGATCCAAGGAGGGATGCTCTCAAACTCAATAGCGAGGGCCAGGTAATCTTGATCCGCCTGAGGGCCCCGCAATAACATCCAACAAGTAACAKCTTTGAACAGTTYTGTCGTCCAAACTGTCGGGCTCAATCCCCCTCGCGGCTCCTCAAAACTGCAGCAATCACTCCCCCTTCCTGCCCAGTCTGACCACTCTTTCACGCCTCGCTCGATCACGGCCGCTCACCGGCATGTAATGATCGTTAGTCTCAACAGCAGCCCATACATAGTTTCTTAACACAACAGCAATGTCTATCATTGAAYGCAGCGGCCTACCATAATGACCAGCAGCAGCCCCACATAAAGTGCAATGGTACACARCCCATAAGTCCTCAAGTCTGTAGTCCCCTGCTCTGTAGTTGACAGTTCCGCAGTCCACAACTCTGTAATCTACAGTTCCASAGTCCACAACTTTGTAATCTACAGTTCCACAGTCCACAGCTCTGTCATCTACAGTTSCACAGTYCACAACTCTGTCATCTACAGTTCCACAGTCCACAACTTTGTAATCTACAGTTCCACAGTCCACAGCTCTGTYACCYGCTGCCYACCGRGAAGAGCAGCGTCTTGGTCACATGGGTAASTGCTCTGAAAACAGCCCACTCGYGTCGCYCATTCTGRMTCGTAGGCCAGCCCYGCTTGGTATAATACGTGCCTGCCACGCCGGTCRACTCAACYCACMACCCCTGCTCATTCGGCTGGTCG